TCACACACACACACACACACACACTCTCACACACACACCAATGAGGTAACAGTCAGGTTATATTCCGTATACGCATGACCAGTGAATGTGTGTATTATATCATTATCAGCAGTTTCATGTTAATGCATGGACTTGTGATTTGAGTGCTGTTTGCTGTCGTGCAGGAAAATGTTCATCGGTGGACTCAGTTGGGACACCAGCAAGACAGACCTCACTGACTACCTGTCCAAGTTCGGAGAGGTCCTTGACTGCACCATCAAAACAGACCCCATGACGGGCCGCTCCAGGGGCTTCGGCTTCGTGCTCTTCAGAGACGCTGAGAGCGTCGATAGGGTAAGTGTTCCCCTCAGGCTTTACGCTTACTGATAACATCCTCGAGGCAGCATTCATAGCAGGCTCTTGATGTGTTCAGGTGCTAGAGCTGAAGGAGCACAAGCTGGATGGGAAGCTGATCGATCCCAAGAGAGCCAAAGCCATGAAGGGCAAGGAGCCGCCCAAGAAGGTGTTCGTCGGCGGTCTGAGTCCAGACACGTCCGAGGAGCAGATCCGGGAGTACTTCGGAGCTTATGGGGAGGTGAGTACCTTCAGTGAAGCGCTTTATCATTTAAAATCACATCGTTTTGGAAGTAGCACCACAAGCGGTGTGTTTTTCTCTCAAAAGATTGAAAGCATCGAGCTGCCCATGGACACCAAAACAAACGAGAGGCGGGGATTCTGCTTCGTGACGTACGTTTCAGAGGATCCCGTTCATCAGCTGCTGGAGAACAGATACCATCAGCTTGGTTCAGGGAAGGTGTGTGGATATCATCATTATATTATATTTGACAGACATGCGTACCTAGATCTGCATTAATACAACGGATCATAGTAGGCATGTGTGAGTAAATTAAAGCAATAAGCCCCGTGAAGCCGTGGTTTACAGTGAATTTATAACAGCTAAGGTGCGTTGTTAGTGCCTAAAACCCCCTTAGCTGTTATAAATTCACTGTAAACCACGGCTTCACGGGGCTTATTGCTGTTATAAAACGGTTATTCCATATATGTAGTAAGGTTTAACAAAATAAAACGGAGCAAATAAAGTGTAATGATAATAAAAACAGTATTCTTCCACCAAACAATGTAGTTCCTCAGAAACAGCTGTGTTACAACAAAGAGGTGGCAGAGCAACACACAGAAGTAAACAAAGGTGTGTGTTTGTAGAGTAATTTACAACAGCTTCGAACGCGGCTCAGCCAATCAGAATCAAGCACCGGAACGCTCCGCTTTATAATAAAAAAATTTAAATGGTATTTGTAAAGAAAAATGTAAGTACAAATGCTACTGTTGTAATGAAAACTGTTCTGTTTCCAGTGTCCATGCCTAGTATATTATGTATGCTTTGACATAATTGTGTCACTAATATAATCTTTGGTTTTTCATCATCATATGATGTCCGTTATGTTGAGCAGACGTGTAGCTGTGGCCGAGGGACGTTCTGCATCCACGTGCTCTTCGTCATGCTCAGAGTCTTCCAGCTGGAGCCGTCGGACCCTCTGCTGTGGAGGAAGACCCTCAAGAACTTTGAGGTGAGGGGACTGTAATACAAGCAGAGCACAACGAGCTCCGTGCCATCGCTCAAGCTCAGCGCACACTGATGGTCTGATCTCATTCAGGTGGAGAGCTTGTTTCAGAAGTACCACAATCGCCGCAGCTCGCGCATCAAAGCTCCCTCACGCAGCACCATCCAGAAGTTTGTGTCTCGCATGTCCAGCTCTCACACGACATGTACCTCCAGCGCCTCCCCATCCAGCAACGAAAGCAGGTCTGTGAAGCTCCAGAGACCCTCTTATCTGCTTGAACTGTGTGATTTCAGGCTATGCTGACTGACTCTGGATCAGATCAGTGTTTCTCAACTGGTGGGTCGCAAGGCCATTCTGAGTGGGTCGCGGAGAGTACAGTCAAAGAAATAACATCAACAACAAAAAAACATAATTCTTAATGTTTTTCTGATG